CCCCCCGCCACACACACACACACACCACCACTACCCTGCTCCCCCCCCCACACACAGACACACCACCACCCAACCCCCATGTGTGCACGCACACATACACCACCTACCCCACACACACACACTGCCACCCACACCCCCATGCACACATCACTCCCACCCCACAAACACACACACCACACCTCCCCCCGCACACAGAGACACACACCATTCCCCCCCCACAGACACAAAGACACACACACAGCATACCCTCCCCACGCGCACACACACCATCCCCTACCCATACACACACCATTCCCCCACACACACACCATCCCCCACCCCCCCACACTAACACACACACAGATGCACCATTCCACCACCACCCCCCCCCACACACACACACACACACACACACAACCCACCACACACGCACGCACGTACACACGCACAAGAGTGTGTGTGCACAGAGAAACACACACACAAGAAGGAATAAAGACATGGACACAATCATAGTGACACACATATGCCATAGCATATAGACAATAATGACTGTTCTCTATACACAGTATGCCTGCTCTCTCACAGACGACCATGGATAAGCACAAACTGGATGGTATGTTTTTTACATGGGACATCAACATTTTATTCCCCTGTAAATGTATCTTGCTGGCTGAATAACAGTCACATATGATCTCCCACACATTTTCTGAAGCTAATTGCCGTTGTTTAAGGCCTAATGTTGAACTCTGACACAAGCATGATTGCTAATTAATAAAACACAAAGTGCACTCTTTCTGTCTTTTGAGATGGAAAAGCAGAGGTAGAATCAAAGTGCACATCCTGGAACAGAATGATTCAATTGAATTGTTATAAAGAACAGAGAGAGAGAAAAAATAAAGGACAGAGATTAATGAATCACCAGAAAACACACATGTACGTAGAGGTCATAACCTTTAATCCAAACACCTTCAATCAGAAAGAATTTCAGTTGATTTTAATAAAGTTTACAGATTGAGCTAACGGCAGGAAAGCACAAGACTGATCGACCCTGACTTCATTTTCTGTATTATAATGAAGACCAGCATTTTTTCTTATTCTCTACAAGAGGGGCCTGGTTAATTGTGGGAACCTCACAATGGAATCGGACTCTGGAGAGTATGGACCTGGAGCCTATCCCCATTCTGGCAACTTTACATTCACCCTCTGGATCCCACACCCTCCAAACCCCACTTGCTGATCTCCATTTCCTCCTGGATCCTTGTTACTCCTATACCCTCTGATTTCCATATCCCTGTGGATCTCACACTATCTAGATCCCACACACACGCTGGATCCTGCACCTTCTGATTTCCATATTGCTGACTTTGACTGGAGGACAATGGACATAACCCCAATGGGCCAGAAGGAGTGGCCAATCATGCGTTGCCAGGATTCACTCGTGGGGTTTGGGGAAAACAAGGTGCAGTCGCCCAGTCGAGATGTCTGGGGGTGGGGATGGGGGATGGTGGTGTGGGAGGAGTGTGTTTGTGTGTGGGTGTGTGTGTTTGTTTGTGGGTATGTGTGTTTGTGTGGGGGTGTGTGTGTGGGTGTGTGTGTTTGTTTGTGGGTGTGTGTGTTTGTGTGGGGGTGTGTGTGTGGGTGTGTGTGTTTGTGTGGGAGTGTGTGTCTGTCTGTCTGTATCAGTGTGTCAATGTGTCTTTCTGTGTGTCTCTGTGCCCCTGTGTGTCTGTATGTATTGGTCCATCTTCGTGTGTCTGTATGTGTGCCTGTGCCTTGTGTGTACTGTTATGTGAGGGTACGCTATGTCACACAGTGATATTTTACTGTTTGCTCCCTGCCTTATGTCTATAAACACATGAAAGATTTTGCCAAATTTTCTTTTCATGATGACCCTCCCTTTAAGCAGCCAATCACCTTCAGCTTGGACAAGAAGTCTCAAACATTGTAAGGAGACAAGGAACACTCAGCAGCTAATTGACCCCTGGCTCTACCTTGCAGACCCTGGCTGCTGTCACCCTCAGGGAGTCCCTTTTCCACTTGCGATATCAAAGTGTTTTTAATTTCCTGTAAATCGATCTCTCTGGCTGAATAACAGGAATCCTAGCACTGATTATTCCAAACATCGGTTTCAACTTCACTCCAATCTGAAGAACAACCCATTTCCTATAATAAACACAGAGAAACTCAGCATGCCTGGCAGCTTCGGTGGAGAAAGAAAGTGAGTGAATGTTTCCTGCTTTGTGTGGCTCTTTTTCACAGCTGAAGAATTTCTCCTGACTCTGGCTGCTTTTAGCTGTTCAATCCAATTAGCTACCTGGTCTCATCCTCATCTTCATTGTCAGAATCCAGGTTTTTCATATCTCGACAGCGAGCTGACCCTTGTCTACGCCATCCATCAGCAGCTTCAAACAATGCCCTTGGTTCACTTCAATGTCCCAGTTTTGAGTCTGGTCTGCAGGTTGCTTTTCACTTTCTCAAGACATTTGAAATGATGCCAGTGTGCCCCCACACTCACCCCTCCGGCACTATCCTGTCGGTGTGCATTACCCCCTATCATTGCTGTCACCGTTAGTAAGTTTGCAGATGACACCTAGATTGGAGGTGAAGTGAACAGTGAAGAAAGTTAACTCAGTGTAAAATGGGACCTTGATCAGATGGGCCCATGGGCCAAGGAGTGGCAGCTGGAGTTTAATTTAGATACGTGTAAGGTGTTGCATTTTGATAAGGCATTTTGGTGAGGCAAACTAGGGCAGGACTTAAATAGTTAATGGTAGGGCCCTGGGCAGTGTTGTTGAACAAACACCTAGGTGTACAGATTCATAGTTCCTTGAAAGTGGAGCCACGGGTAAACAGGATGTTGAAGAAGGTGTGTGGCAGCTTGCCTTCATTGCTCAGTGCATTGAGTAAAGCAGGTGAAATGTCATGCCCCAGAATCTACTGGCTGCACAGAACGACCAGGGAGCTGTCATTCTGGAGGTTCATGAGGAGGTTTTGGTAACCTGTAATCCAGAGATTCCTGTAATCCAGAGAGAATCCTGATACCAGCTTTCACCAAAACCATTGCCAGATAAAGAGGGAACAGTAACCACCAGCCTCCCAAGGTAGCCAGCCCCAAAGCCTCATCATTGTCAGTGCACCCTCCATCAGATTCTGGACACAACCCTGAAGATCAACTCAGGCCCTGACCATTCCTACAAGATGGACGAGTTTAGGTCATGCTGTGAGCCTCACAGACACACAGCCATTCATTCAAACCGACTGAGCACCAGGCCTCACCTTTCAGCAAAAAGGCCACAGGGACCAGCTCCATCCAAAAGACTCCAGGAAAAAACCCAACAGCTAACGCCCAGTGCAGTACCGAGGGAGCGCCGCACTGTCGGAGGGTCAGTACCGAGGGAGCGCCGCACTGTCGGAGGGTCAGCGCCGAGGGAGCGCCGCACTGTCGGAGGGTCAGCGCTGAGGGAGCACCGCATTGACAAATATTTATACCTCAATTAATGCCATTAATAATAAGGTGTCAACCTGTGAAGCTACCAAACAGGACTACTTGCATGCTAAACTGCAAAAGCAGCAAGTGATAGACAGAACTAAGTGAATGGTGGTGGACAATTAAACAACTCACTGGAGGAGGAGCCTCCACAAATATCCCCATCCTCAATGATGGAAGAGCCCAGCACATCAGTGCAAAAGATAAGGCTGAAGCATTCGCAGCCAGAAGTGGCGAGTGGATGATCCATCTCGGTCTCCTCCAGTGGTCCCCAGCGTTACAGATATCAGTCTTCAGCCAATTCAATTCACTCCATGTGATATCAGGAAACGGTTGGAGACACTGGATACTGCAAAGGCTACGGGCCCTGACAACATCCCAGCAATAGTACTGAAGACTTGTGCTCCAGAACTTGCCGCTCCCCGAGCCAAGCTGTTCCTGTACAGTTACAACACTGGTATCTACCCGACAATGTGGAAAATTGCCCAAGTATGTCCTGTACATAAAAAGCAGGACAAATCCAAACCGGCCAATTACCGCCCCATCAGGTCTACTCTCGACCATCAGTAAAGTGATGGAAGGTGTCAGTAACAGCGCTATCAAACAGCACCTGCTCAGCAATAACCTGCTCAGTGATGCCCAGTTTGAGTTCTGCCAGGGCCACTCAGCTCCTGACTTCATTACAGCCTTGGTACTACAGCCTTGGTTCAAACATGGACAGAAGAGCTGAATTTCAGAGGTGAGGTGAGAGTGACAGCCCTTGACATCAAGGCTGCATTCGACCGAGTGTGGCATCAAGGACCCTGAGCAAAACCAGAATCAATGGGTATCAGAGGGCAAACTCTCCGGTGGTTGGAGTCATACCTGACACACAGGAAGATGGTCGTGGTTGTTGGTGCTCAATCATCTCAGCTCCAGGACATCTCTGCAGGAGTTCTTCGGGGTAGTGTCCTCGGCCCAACCATCTTCAGGACAGGTGATAGCTAGCACCTTTACCCTCTGCATCACCCCCTTTCCCAAACTATCACCTTTCAGATAATAACCTGCCAAAGTAGATAAGCTCACATTTATCCACATTATATTTTATGTGCCATGCATTTGCTCACTCCCAATGATGGTCACATCTGTATCTCTGCAATTTTTACACAGTTAATTGTTCCACGCAGTATTGAGTGATTTACAAATTTGGAGATATTACATTTTAGTTCCTTTATCTAAATCATTAATATATATTGTGAATAACTGCAGTCCAAGCATTTATCCTACTGGTAGCCCACTAGTCACTGGCTACCACTCGGAAAAAGACTCATTTCTTCCTACCCTTTGTTTCCTGACTGCTAAATAGTTCTCTATTCATACACATTACATACTATACCCAATCCCATCCTGATCTAGAAATATATCGCTGTCCCTTCTGTGACGCTGGGTCAAAATCCTGACATTCTCTCCCTAATGATATTGTGGGTCAACCCACAGCACATGGACTGCACTGGTTCAAGAAAGCAGCTCAAGCAGCTTCTCAAGCAGCAATATACACTGGCCCAGCCAATGACACCCACACTTTATTAATTAATAAAAGTTAAAGTTATTGCTGCCTAATGAAGTGGGATTGTAATGTTACTGAGCGTGAGAAAGTGTAGTGCGAGGGAGGGTGTCCTGATATAATTGGAATTTGGCCTCTCATTGGAGTTGGGACAACATTTGAGGAAACATATCACAGTTCACAGTGACAGGGATGTTGGAAGTTCCACGTTTTCTTGGGATCAGTGGAAGATGATGAACCTGCACAAACAGACCAGCTCTTTATCTACTGCTGATAACATTTGCTTATATAGAGCAAGAGCCTGTGAGGTTGGGGCACTGAGGCAGGTGAGAGAAACACAAGCTCAAGCAGCTGCTATTCTGAACACTGCAGCCTGGGGTTACACATTATTTTTATTCTGCCATTGGATGTGGGTGTAACTGGCTCCATTTGCATTTTCTGGCCATTCATAATCCCCATTGAGAAGTTGGTGGTGAGTCACGATCCAGGGATTAATGACTGTCTATGTCAGTAGTGATATTTACAATGAATATTTTTAACAGGTTGGAATATTGTAATCATTCCATTTTTTTCACCTGAAGTATAAAATCTCTAAATTTCTTACTGTGTGAATGATGTTTCCAACAGAGTCAGTGACGTGGGGCAGCCTCAGTGCCTTCATTGCTCTGTCACACTGATCAACCATCAGATGCTGCAGGGTCCAGGCTTCTTCCTCTTGGTAAATAAACAGGAGGCTAGAAGAACACAGCAAGACAGGCAGCATCTGGAGGAAAGGAGCAGTCAATGTTTCGGGTATTACCCTTCTCCAGTCCTGAAGATGGGTATTACCTGAAACATTGAATCCTCCTTTTCTCCAGATGCTGCCTGTCTTGCTGTGTTCTTCCAGCCTCCTGTCTGTCTATCTTGGATTCCAGCATTGGCAGTTTTTTCGTCTCCTTCCTCTTGGTGCTGGGAAGCAGTGAGACTCCTCACAGGGAATGGGGGAAGGATTGATTTGTCCTTGGTGCCAACTCAGACTTGGGGCTCTTCTGGGATTCACCATCTCTGGGTGCTATATAAATTCATTCCCCACCTTCTCAAGCCAGATCTGTCGCTAGAGTGCTTCTCTTAAGGAAATGGCTTGCTGTGAGTAGTTAGAATAAAATAAAAACAGAAAGTGCTCTTCAGAGACTCGAAACATTAGCTCTGTTTCTCTCTTTGTCCACAGATGCTGCCAGACCTGCTGAATTTCTCCAGCACTTCTGTTTTGATTTCTGATTTCCAGCATCCACGGTATTCTGCCTTTATTTGAGCGAGTGGCTAGTCTTTTGTTAAAAGTTCAGACCAGTGGGATGGGTGACGTGTTTCTCTGAGAAGGCCGAACACTGGCTGATGTGTGACTAGTGACCAAAATGATGGAGGGAGATGCTCCCTAATAGAGACCCAGCAGGTTTGACCTCTCTGCAGCACACACATTTTTCTGTCCATTTGAAAAATGTTAACATGGAGAACTAACCTGAGACCAACCTGAGACTGTGAGAATGACTAAAATCGAAGTTATTGTCTTAAGAAACATGGTCGATGCTTGCACCTTCAATTCATCTCAGAAAACAATGGGACCTGACTCATATTTAACTCCCAGAGCCATCTCTCTGTTTGGAGGAAAGTTATTCATTCACAGATTTATGTTTTTGACTCTGTTAGTGAGAATATTTTTCTGTCCATTTGAAAAATGTTAACATGGAGAACTAACATTTACCAGGAAACACCCCAATGTTTATTACTTTACATACACAATGAACAATTAATTAATTATAACTAACTGCTGCCAGTGAAATGAGAGAGTCTTTCTTGGCTACAAATGTATGAATATCACTGTTTGAGAATCTCCTCCTGGATTCCAAAATTCCAACATTCACAAAATATTTCTCTCCAGTGATTTGATTACTGACAGTTTCCTTTGTCTGAATGATGATTAAACAACACAGAAAGGACAAAATATTCTCACTAACAGAGTCAAAAACATAAATCTGTGAATGAATAACTTTCCTCCAAACAGAGAGATGGCTCTGGGAGTTAAATATGAGTCAGGTCCCATTGTTTTCTGAGATGAATTGAAGATGCAAGCATCGACCATGTTTCTTAAGACAATAACTTCGATTTTAGTCATTCTCACAGTCTCAGGTTGGTGTCTTATTAAACTCTGATCATTGATGTCATTCCTGTTCAGGGATGACTTTTGGTCCTAGCTCAGAATTACTATTAATTAATTACTATTAATCAGCCTGACCCTGTCAAACTGATCCCACCCTGACTCCACCACCCTGGCCCCATTGCTCTTTCTGCATCATTTGCTGGGTAATAAATGGATGTATAATAGTGGGTGTGTAACAGGTAGTTGTGAAAAGGGCTGGTGTATAACAGCGTGTGTGTAATATGTGGGTGTGTAAGGAGGAGGTGAGTGTGTAATGTACAGGTGTATAACTGAGTGAGTGTGTAATTGGGCTGGGGTATAACAAAAAGGTGTAAATGTATAAACAGGAGGGTGTGTAAGGATGGTGTATAACAGGCTTGTAACAGGTGAGCATGTAACAACTGGGTGTGTAATAGCAAGTGTGTAATGTGGGTAATAGGAGGTGTGTGACAGGCCAGTGGGTCAGGGGTGTATTTGTGATGAGACATGTATAATGGGTGGATGTGTACCAGCAGGGCTGTAAGGGGTGGGGGTTTAACAGCAGGTTTGTAATAGTTTCTGTGTAACAGGTGAGTGTCTGTTCAGGTATGGGTTATGTAATCGGCAATTGTAGAACAGGATAGTCTGTAATGTGTGGGTGAGTAACAGGACGGAGTGTAATGGGCATAGAATCATACAGCACAGAAACAGACCCTTCGGTCTAATTTGTCCATACCAGCCAGGTTTCCCAAACTAAACTCGTCTCACTTCCCTGCGCTTGACCATATCCCTCCACAACTTTCCTATTCTTGCACCTGTCCAAATGTCTTTTAAATGTTGTAACTGTACCTCCATCTACCTCTTCCTCTGGATGTTCATCCTACATACAAACCACCCTCTGTGTGAAAAAGTTGCCCCTCAGTTCCCTTTTAAATTTCTCCTCTCACCATAAAAGTATGCCCTCTAGTGTTGAACTCACCCACTTCAGGGAAAAGACTCTTGCTATTCACCTTAATATGCCCCTCACAATTTTATAAACCTCTACAAGGTCACCCCTCAACCTCCGAAGCTCCAATGGAATAAGCCTCAGCCTATCCAGCCTCTCCCTATTACTCCATGCCTGGGATAATGTCCTAGTAAATCTTTTCTGAACCTCACCAATTTAATAATATCCTTTCTATAACAGGACCAGAACTATGCACAATACTCCAAAAGAGACCTTACCAATGTCCTGTACAACCTCAACATGACATCCCAACTCTTATACTCAATGGTCTAAGCAATGAAAGCAAGCATGCTAAACACTTTCGTAACCACCCTGTCTACCTGTGCTGCAACTTTCAAAGGACTATGCACCTGAACCTTTAGGTCTCTCCCTGTTCTACAACACTACCCAAGGGCCCACCATTAACTGTATAAGTCCTGCCCTTGCCTTTGTTTTACCAGAATGCAACACCTTGCATTTATCGATATTAAACTCCATCTGCCACTCCTCAGTCCATTGGCCCAATTGATCAGAATCCCTTTGTAATCTTAGATAACCTTCTTTACTGTTGAATATAATAACAATTTTGATGTCATCCACAAACATATTATGCATGCCTCCTAAATTCTCATCCAGATCATTTATATAAATGATAAACAATAGTGTAGCCAGCACCAATCCCTGTGGACTACCACTGGTCACTGGCCTTTAGTCCAAAAAACAACCCCCCACCAACACCCTCTGTCTCCTAACTTTGAGACAATTTTGTATCCAATTGACAAGCTCTCCCTGAATCCCATGTGATCTAACTTTACTAATTAATCTACCAGGCAGAACCCCATTGAAGGCTTGACTAAAGTCCACGTAGACAGCGATTACTGCTCTGTTGTCATCAATCTTTTTGGTTATGTCCTCAAAAAACTCAAACCAAGTTTGTGAGACACAGTTTCCCTCGCACAAAGCCATGCTGACTATCCCTAATCAGCCCTTACCTCTCCAAATGCATGTAAATTCTATCTCTCACAATCCCCTCCAACAAGTACAAGATGATCAGAGGATTAGATAGGGTGGACAGTGGGAGCCTTTTTCCTCAGATGGTGATGGCTAGCACGAGGGGACATAGCTTTAAATTGAGGGGTGATAGATATAGGACAGATGTCAGAGGTAGGTTCTTTACTCGGAGAGTAGTCAGGGCGTGGAATGCCCTGCCTGCAAAAATAGTAGACTCACCCACTTTAAGGGCATTTAAATGGTCATTGGATAAACATATGGATGATAATGGAATAGTTTAGGTTAGATGGGCTTCAGATTGGTTTCACAGGTCGGCGCAACATCGAGGGCCGAAGGGCCTGTACTGCGCTGTAATGTTCTATGTTCTATGTTCTATTGATGTCAGACTCAGCAGTCTGTAGTTCCCAGGCTTCTCCTTACAGCCTTTCTTAAGTAAAGGCACAGCAGTTGTGTAAAGATTAACTGTGTGAATGTGGGTGTGTGATGGGGCTGTATAAATGGGTAACTATGGCCTGAGTCTGTGAGGTGATTCTGCTGGATGTGGTGTGGAGCCACTGCTCATCCAGTTGGTGGACATTCACGGGGAGCAGCTGACATAAAGTGGTTTCTCTGGGCTCAGGACTTCCAGGAATTTCCCACCGGAAACACCACACAAAGCTCTCAGCTCCATGATGTCAACAGGAGCAGATTCAAGCAACAAGCTCTCAATGACAGGATGCTTGTTGAGGAATTGAGCAAAAGATTAATGAATGTTCTTTGGTGTTTCCATCCTCATCCTCTGGTTTCCAACAGACTCCCGGACCAGGCTTGTTGCAGGAGAGCTGCGAGATGACTCTCAAAATTATATCTTCAGAAAAGCCAGCAAAACCCAGCACCCAAAAACCAAGGAGCCTTTCAGGTGAGTGTTGGTTTCAGGGCATTTCATCAGGTCTCAGTGCCAGGACAGGAATAGCTAAACTCACAATGAACAGAGGCTATTAAAACATTTCCCTCTTTATTTTCCAAACCACATCAGTGATAAGGTGACCACATAGTCAGTTGTCAGTAGCTACTCTGTCACTGGTCAGTCATTGATCAGCAATATTCGTTTTTGTCTCTGTTGCTGTTTCTGGCAAGTCAGCTATAAGTCTGTAAGATATAGGAACAGAATTAGGCTATTTGGACCATTGAGTCTGTTCCAACATTGGATCATGGCTAATATGTTTCTCAACCCCATTCTTCTGCCTTCTCCTTATAACCTACGACTCCCTTGCCAATCAAGAACCTATCTATCTCTGTCTTAAATACATTCAATGACTTGGTCTCCACAGCCCTCTGTGGCAATGAGTTCCACAGATTAACCACCCTCTGGGTGAAGAAACTCCTCCTCATCTCAATTCTAAAGGGTCGTCCCTTCACTGCAAGGCTGTACCTTTGGATCTTAGTCTCTCCTACTCATGGAAACATCTTCTCCACTTCCACTCTATCCAGGCCTCTCAGTATTCTGTAAGTTTCAATCAGATCCCCCCTCATCCTTCTAAACTCCATCAAGTACAGACCTAGAGTCCTCAATCGCACCTCATTTGGCAACCAATTAATTCCTGGAATCATTCTTATAACCCTCCTCCGGACCCCCTCCAACACCAGCATTTCTTTCCTTATTAGCCTTCCTAACAACCAACTGAACCTGCATGTTAATCTTAAGAGAATCCTGAACTGGGATTCACAAGTCCCCTGAAGGTTTCACAAGGTTTCTGAAGCCTTTTCCAGTTTGGAATATAGTCCATGCCTTCATTCTTCCTACCAAAGTGCATAACCTCACACTTTCCAACATGGTACTCCATTTGCCACTTATTTGCCCAATCTCCTACCTCTCCAAGTTCTTCTGCAGCCTCCCTACTTCCTCAATACTACCTGTTCCTCTACCTACCTTTGTATCATCTGCAAACTTAGCAACAATGCTCTGAGATCCTTCATCCAGATCATTAATGTATTACTGTGAATAGTGTGGTCCCAACACTGACCTCCATGGAACTACACCAGTCACTGGCTGTCATTCTGAAAAAAACCCCTTTATCCCCACTCCCTGCCTTCTGCCAGTCAGTCAATCCTCTATCCATGCCAGTACCTTGCCCCTAACACCATAGGCTCTTATTTAGCAGCGTCCTGTGTAGCACCTTATCAAAGGCCGTAAGGAAATCCAAACACATCTTGGCTCTCCTTTGTCTAACTTGCTCGTTACCTCCTCAAAGAATTCTAACAAATTGTCAGGCATGATCTCCCCTTGATGAAGCTGAGCTGACTCAGCTCTGTTTTACAATGCACTTCTAATTACTATGCAATCTCGTTTTTATTAATGGACTCTAAAATCTTACCAATGACCGAGGCAGGCTCATTGCCTAAGTGAACGGAAAATGAATAGTCGGTGGACAGTCAGTGTGATCTGTAGATTTTGAGTGAAGAGGATAAAAGAATTACAACAAAACAGGGACTGTCTGAAGCAGGATCTGCCCAGATTCCGTGTGGAATCGATCCATTGAGTCATGTTGGATTAAACCATTGCTGCTACGAGGCAGAAAATGACATGATCAAACTGTACTGAGGGATGGAATCTGCACTTTAAGAGTTTGCGCTTTGTCTGAGATAGACAGAAAACAGAAACTGGCAAAGGAAATCAAGAAAGAAAACAGACCCTTCCTGTTTCTAAGAAAACTGAAACTGAGATTTGGAAACCAATAATGGGACAGGCTGAAACTGGCTGAGTTTATTTACAGAGAGGGAGAACCATTAAATGTGATTAGTGATTTGATGAGTCTTGTTCTGGGAGATGGTGATGTGTTGGTAATGTCTCTGGGTTAGTAATCCCAAGGCCCAGGATAATGCTGTAAGGATACAGGTTGAAACGTCTAATAGTAGGGGGTGTACATTTAAGGTGAGGGAGAAAAGTTCAAAGGCAATGTGAGGGGCACATTTTTTACACAGAGGGTGGTAGGAGGGTGGAACACACGGCCAGGGGTAGTGGTGGAGGCAAATATGATAGGGGCATTTAAGGGGCACATGAAAATGCCAGGAATGGAGGGATATGGACCAAGGGCAGGTAGAAGGGATCAGTTTAATATGGCATCATGTTCGGCACCACATTATGGGCTGAAGGGCCTGTTCCTGTGCTGTACGGTTCTATGTTCTGAGTTCTAAATTCTAATGCCACCCTGGCAGCTGGGGGAATTTAAATGCAATGAATAAAATCTGGAATTGAAACCTAGTCTCAGTCTTGGTGATAGTGACAGTGAAACGATCATCGATTGTCCTTTGGAGAAGGAACTCTGCTGTCCTTACCCGGTCTGTCCCAGTTGCCACCCAAGCAATGGGGTCAGCTCTTAAATGCCCTCGGAAATGGCTGGGAGTGTGAACGAGGGCAGCTAACAAATACTGACCTGGCCCATATGCTCCACGCCCCAGGGGAAGAGAAACTTTGGTGGGTCTACTCTGTGCAAACTGAAATTGATCAGGTTCTGCAGATATGTCCCTCTTGAGGTAAACACTGTGCCTCTGGACCGGGCCTTGGTGCTGTGCTGCTGCCTGCTCAGGATCAGACTATACCTTGAAATTGGGGAAGGGATGAGTTTGAAGGGCTTTGGGATTGAAGTTTATGACCTATTTGCTGTGTGGACAGCTGAGCCAATTCATAAGATCTGGCATTTATTATGTAACTTGAAGTTTGTAATCAACCACAATATGCATGTGAGTTCATGTTAATTTATGTTGATTCTAGGTGTTAGAGCATGGGTAGTTAGCTAAGGTACTATTTAGCAATTTTTTATGTGAGCTTTACTGAGAAAAGGCACGACAAACAGCATTTCAACTGCTCATAACATTCAAGGCAATCAGCCTACTGCTGTAGAGGGGGGCTACAGTAGATTTAGTATAGTTTTGGTACAGACTTAATAGGCCAAAGGGCCTGTTCTGTACTGAATGATTCGATGTTCACAACAAGCAAGGTACTGACTATACCCAACCAGACCCTGATTGTAAAATTCAAAAGAACATTGTTGAACATTACATGTGATTCTGCAACTGGACAAGATTTGCCAGATTATCCTGAGTGTGAGAAGAATTACACTGTCAATTAATTTAGTATCTTCAGGCTCACATTGTGGCGAACCTGGTGCACCCAGTTCTTTGTAGACAGAAAGAACATGTACATCCTAGGGTGGAGGTAGCTATTACGAGGTGGCATAGTTTTAAAGTGAGTGCAGGTAGATATAGGGGAGACGTCAGAGGTAGGTTCTTTACTCAGAGAGTGGTAGGGGCGTGGAATGCATTACCGGAGAGGGTAGTGGAGTTGGCCTCAGGGGCATTTAAGTGGCTATTAAATAGGCATATGGATGATAGTATAAGGTAGGGGTGGAGGTTAGATAGACCTTAGGATTAGGGTAAAAGTTCGGCACAACATCGTGGGCCAAAGGGCCTGTACTGTACTATACTGTTCTATGTTCTATTCACTGCACATGTTTCAAATCAACAAAAATAGGTGACAGCCATTCACTGGTTCATTTCCCAGGGCAATAGTGATCAATCAGAGTCAGCTTGCCTAGATTAACATTTAAACAAGATGTGGCAGTTAACTGTCACCATGTTAACTGGTGCATTCTCCATAGCGATGTCTCCAGCAATGGGAATCCACTGACCAACCAATCAGCACTCTCCTTTTATAAAGTAGAAATATTATTTTTTGCTAATTCCTCTGATGAGGGCAAGATGACAACCTTCCACAAAATGTGCCTTTTTTTCAGCAATACTCAGGCTTTGTAAGATCAAGCCTGCATTTTGCCTGTGGAATTGTTGATCCACTGAGCTCAGCTTCTTAGCCACACTTCACAAACAGTGTGTTTGCAATTACCTGCCTGATGACGTTTACTTCCTATTCTGTCCGGGTAAGGAAGTCAGCCTTTCTCTGTTTACACTTTCAGTTATCTTCTCAAAGATAATACCATGCATGTCCGCAAGCTCACTGAGAGTCTCCATGAGAAACTGGTTCCCATCACAGAGGAGCTTCGTCAGAAGATGACGGCTGACACTGAGAAGTTGCAGCAATTGATCAGGCACAAGTTACAAGAACTGAGCAGGAAAATTGACCCTTTCAATGATGGAGTCCACCAGAGGCTCAGTAGAAGCCTGACAGAATTCTATCGGATGCTGACACCTTACACTGAGCAACTCCGCATTACCCCTGTAATTCACAGCAGCAGAACACTTCGACGCAAAGTGAGAGCTGATTCAAAAACCCAAGGGAAAACCATGGTCTCACTGACTGAAAAAGTACAGAGTCAGATTGAGGATAACATTGCCAAGGTAAACCAGGGCCTCCAACCTGCCACGTCCCTGGTCCAGCTTGATAAAGGAATCCAGAAGATTCTGGCTAAGCTACTTCCTGATGTTGAACGAGGATCTGCAAGTGTGCTCCATCAGGTCGGCACCATTCCCCAGCACATGGAGAACATCAGTACCCTCGAGTTAAAGATCAATGAGAATGTGAAAAAACTGGCCCCTTATGCCTCGAACAAGACAGGGATTCTGGGTGGTAACCTGAATGATGAAAATCTGACTCACCAAATGAAGGATCTCAGCAGCAACATTGATGAAGTAGCTAAGGCTTTCCTGCAGAACACGGAGTCCTTCAAAATCAATAAAAACCTTACAGTGAAACTGAAGAACATGAAGGACAGACTCTCTCCTTATGCAGACAGCTTAAAGCAAGCTCTTCAAATCAATCTTTCAAATATGTCCGAATATATCCGAGATGAAGTGAATAACTTTTGAGAAAAGAATGTTGTTCAGTCAAACTGAATCTTGGGAGTGGGGAATCTTGAATTATGAAGAACTGTATCATTGATTGTAACAATTCTCAACAGATTGAGTTCGTGTCAAAAGCAATAATTGTCAACATCGCTTGATAAAAATTTTAGGATGCACTGTAGTTTACTCACGGGCTTTTTAAAAAACTTTAGAATTTATTATGTTTCATTGTGTTTTCACTCCTTGGAAGTAATCTTCATTAAATATCAAAATTCTTCATTGCTCCTCTCAGTATCCAACTCTTCAATTTTGATGATACCAGTTCCTTTGGAAACCTGTTTTACTAAGCACATACCCCTGCCTCCCTGTCACTCTTCCCTGTTTCTGATTTCCCTGTCTTGCTGTCTCTGTTTCTTGTTTCCCTCTCTGTAATCTTTTCTGTTCTCCATCCTTCACTCCTCTTGCCATACTCTCTCCCCCTCTCCACTCCCTGCCCCTTCCCACCCCCACACATCACCCAAATTCTCTCTGCTCCTGGGGACCTGTTTCTGGGATCTAACCCAGTCAGTGACCAGCTCTGTCCTTGTTCAGGAAGAACAGGCCTCAATGTTGAAGCCTGAGGAAAGCCCCACAACCAATAACTTCCTCAATTCCTCACACCAGATCACATCATATTTCACAACACATCACAATCCCAGATCTCACCACAATCCCAGATCACAACACAATTCTCAAATAAAATATGATCCCAGATGATGAGGGCAATCCATTTGATGTAGTCTACCTGGACTTCAGCAAGGCCTTTGGTAAGGTCCCAATGGGAGACTAGGATCGAAGGTAGGAGCCCATAGGATCGATGGAAGTTGGGTACAGAATTGGCCAAGTGCCAGGAAGCGGAGGGGGATGGTCAAGGGGCGTTGTTGTGACTGGAAGCCTGTGCCCATTGGGGTTCTGTGGTGTTTCAGTGTTAAGGCCCTTGCTGTCTGTGGTATGTACAAACAATTTGGACTTGAATGTTGGAGGAGGCTTGATTGGTAAGTTTGTGGATGATATGAAAATTGGCAGCGTGGAAAATAGTGAGGAGGGTGGCCTTAGATTGCAGGAGGATATGGATGGGCTGTTCAGGTGGGCTAATCAGTGACAAATGGAATTCAATCCGATAAATGTGAAGGGGTGCACATGGGCAGGGGGACAGCCAAAGCAAGTGAATACACGAAGAATGGTAGGATCCTGGAAACACTGAGTATCAGAGGGACTTTGGTGTGCATGTCTATCGCTCCCTTAAGGTACTGGGACAGGTAGAAAAATGTGAGTAAGAAGTCTTATGGGATACTTGCCTTAGCCTTAGCCAAGACATAGAATTTAAGGCCAGGGAGGTGGTGCTGGAGCTGTTTAAAACGCTGGTTAGGCTGTAGCTAGAGAATTGTGTGTAGTTCTGGAATTCATATTATAGGAAGGATGTGATTGCATTGGAGAGGGTGCAGAGGTTTTCCAGGATGTTCCCTGGGCTGGAGAGTTTTAGTTATAGAGATTGGACAGACTGGAATTGTTTACTTTGGAGCAGAGGAGACTGAGGTGGGGTGGTGTCATGATTGAAATGTATAAAATTATGAGGGGCTTAGACAGGAAGAAACATTTCTTCTTAATGGAGAGGTCAAGGAATTGGGGGCCATAGATTTAAGGTAAGGGATAGGAGATTTAAAGAGAATGTAAGGAAACCTTTTTCCCTTAAAGGACAGCGGGAATCCGGAACTCGCTGCCTGTGAAGGTGGGAGAGGCAGAAACTCTCAGAACATTGAAGAAGTATTAGATCTACAACTTGCAATGTCAAGGCTATGGGCCAAGTGCTGGGAAATAGGACTGGAATTGTTAGGTGCAGACTCGGTGAGCCAAAGGGCCTTTTCCCGTAACTCTATGACACTACAGTCCCAGTTGACATGTCTCATTCTGGAACAGTATCCTGGGTCAGATATCCAGACAGTAATCGATCCAGAGTTAATAAATAAACAGGCCAATCAGGAAGTGAAGAGACACAAATTAGGAATGAGGGAGGAGGGGAAATGAAAAGAAGGAGAAAGGTCAGAATGTGAAAAATCCAAACAAAATGAAAATATAAAACACAATGCAGGGAGCGAAATGAAAAGAAAGGAAAGTGAAATGAAAATGTTTGGAAATACCAGGTGAAAAAATGAAGAATTAGACCAGGCACATAAGAATTCAGTATTTTCAGTGCCTGTGAAGAGATGGAGCATTTGGGCTCGTGACATCAGCAGGGCAGGAGGACAGCTGGAGATTGACAGAAACCCTTACAGCAGCTTCTGATCTGACTGTAGGGGAACCTTGTGAATGGTGGGAGCACAGCACAGAAAACACGACGGCAAGTCCCTGTTGCAATTTGGGAAACGTAGCAGTCTGCTAATGCCCAGCAAGATCCCATAATCATCATTGAAGTGAATGAGCAAACCAGAAAGTCGATTATGGCGATAAACAGTCGACAGGATAGCAGAGAAGTTTGATCTGCTCCTCTGTGCCATGGCAGTGGCGAGTAAGCCCCTACTTACTTTTCCCAGGGTCAGCACAGGACCTGGCATCGCAAACAATGGCTGCTATATCAGTGGAGGTGACCTCGGTGAAAGATGGTGCCTGAGGATCGGTGACTTTGGCATTAGCTGGGCACAATGCAGGCGGCAGTGACGCGGTGTCAGAGTGGCATCACAACAGCATCAACGAGGCAGTGGTGGATGAGAGACGGCCCAGAGATCAACGCTGTGCCTCAAGGGAAACAACTTCAACATTAGTTGGGTGTGGGGTAGATAGTGACAACGACAAGGTGAACGGATAGGTGTGCAGGATTCATTGACAATGAGCTAGCTCAGGACTGATGGATTCTATTTAAGCTCTATCTTTCTATTGTTTGTTATTCTGGGATTGTTTTTCTCACTGTAAAATATACATTACATTAAAATCACAATAAAATCATTCAATCGTTTATATTCTTCAGACAGAAAACAGCATAGGTTCAACATGTCCTCAGCACTGACCCTCCGACAGTGCGGCGCTCCCTCAGCACTGACCCTCCGACAATGCAGCGCTCCCTCAGCACTG